GTCAGATAACCCCAATTCATATATTTTACCTACGGCTTCTCGGTCATTGCTTATAATATGATCTATACAAGTTTTCTGTCTGGTAGGCTTTTGTATGTGATGAGTGAGGTTATTGTTTAGTAAAATGTCTTTGTAGAATTCAGAAGCTTGTGTGCACTTAAGTGTGTCTATATTAAAATCTCCGGCTATAATTATTTTAAAGTATCTGTCACAAATATTATAAAGCATGTCTTGAAATTTATTTAAAAAGTCTGTTACATTGGACTTAGGTATTCTATAGATGCAGATAACACAACAGCGATGGTCTAGCAAAATAATACCACATACCTCAAAAGTGTTTTCTGCTTGATATTTATTAATTATTGTAAGATCTACAAAGTTAAAATTATTTTTACAAAGTATGCATACACCACCTCGTTTTACGTCAAGCTTTGAATAACTATTTGCAATAGTGTAGCCATTCAAATGCACACACACTTCTTCACCTGCTTTCAGAAATGTTTCACTAAGGCATATAACATCTAATTCACAACCTATTTCACGAGGAAAATCAGTTATGTATATCTGCAACAAATCAGTTTTATTAAGAAGTCCAGCTATGTTTCGGTGAAAAATTGTAATGATTTGGTTTTTACAGACGAAAAAAAATTGTCACGTTTTGACCCTTCAGCTGTTACTTCGATATTAGCATTTACAATTTCGTTCCGGTGCCTCGCATAATTGTTAACATAGCAAAAATAATCTAAGATAGTTTTCTGTGTGATTTTTCTACTTTTCTGTTTATTGACATTTTTATGGGGGAAACGGATTAAATCATGACGTTTGTTAAAGCTAAGGAATTTTTCGTTGTAGTCGAGGCTATCTATTAAAAAAATTTAATTTAGTACAAATGTCAAAGCGTCTTTTTTATCGTCAATGTGAATGAAATGACAATTATTGAAATTGTTACATAGAAGGCGAATGTTCCTATTCAACAGGTTTTCATTCAAAAAAACATTTTTAGTACGCTTATTACAATAATAGTTAAGTTCTGGTTTTTTTTTTTAAAAAATGCAGATAGTTCTAATAATACTTTAGTGGGGTTACAGTCATTTTCACCAACATTAATTACTATTTTATCTTTATTATTAAAAACAACATTTTCGCATCCGTTAAGAATTTCTTCTGTAGGTGCTTGCGGTTTTGTATCTGCTGTAATACAATATTTTTCATATTTGCTGTTGAGTCTTGATCGAATCAGTGAAGAAGCTAATCCTACACATTGTTGCCCTCCAAATATGTGTATCTTATTTAAAGTTGCTTTAGCCGTAGTAGCAGTTTTAGGCGACGTGATATCTTCTAGTGACGTATCCTTATCGCTTTCCTTAGTTTTAGCTTGTATTGCAAAATCAGGGCAGTAGCTTGTTTGTATTGAGGAATCGTTAAGGGATTTGTTTTGTCGCATAAATGTTGAGCCTCCTTTTATTTTTGACTTGCGCTTTCTGACACTCCGTGAACATATGGCAGTTAAGTGCTGAATTCGATTTTTTTGCTCATGGACTTCTTTTTGTAATACATTCTTTTCCATGTGCAAGTTTTCTATTTCTGTATGTGCACTGGCAAGTTTACTATTCAATTCCTCAATTTTTTGCTTTAATTGAATATATTCGTCGTCATAGTCACGAGTAGAAAGATCAGGAAGGCTTCTTCTGGGAGATAACGAAATATCCTCCAAAGAATTATTATTTTCTTCTAGTAATGAGTGACCTTTTACGTCATTAATTATAGGTTCGTATTCATTTTCCCTAGTAAATTGCTTTCTAAGAGTTATGTTGTCTGTCATAATATTAGAATTTTCTTGTGCTGTACTCGTATATGCTTGTGATGTGTTTGCTTTAGGAGTACTTATAAAAATGGGATTAATTTTACATGATTTTGTAGGTAATGTATGTTTATTTAAGCATTTGTTGCATTGCCATTGATTCTTGCAGTCAGATGTCATCAAATTAAATTTCCTTATCGTCATATTTACACATGAAATGTCATAATTATTTTTACATATAGTACACTTGACACCTTCCTTTGTGATGTTTTTCTTACATTTAAAACATTTTTTGGTTCTGGAAGCGGGTTTTTTATTTATTGGCGTCATTTCAGCAAAAAGAAAAGAAAAATTAAAATAAAAAATAAAAAAGTAACAGAGTTTGTCAACCGGGTTTGAACCACCACTATCCGACCGTTAAATAAGTGTCGGTTCAACACTGTGACCGTTAAGCAACGGTAACGACATGCACTTATGACGAAAAGTCTGTACAGGTTGCTCCATCAAATTGCGTTTGAGTCATTTTATGACCTTATATGGTAATAGTTGCTTTCGAACGCGATCACCCGATGAGTCACACACGTCACATAACACTTTTAGAATGATACAACCAAACACGTTTGAGCCGTTATTTATACACTAATATCACTTTTGTTAAATGTTAAATCTACACAGTCTTCTCAGTTATTTAAGAGGAATCGATTGGTATATTTTTTTGTAAGAATAATCCACTTTTAACCCTTAAAAATAATAAAATACACGGAGACAAACTAAGTAGGTACGTGCGCTCGGGCTAACACGTCCAGACTACGAATTTGTCGCTCGTAGGTAATTATTACTTACGTGGTATACTGTCTTATTTTCAACCATAATATAGGGAAAAAAGTTTTTTTGACGTGTACATTGGCGTAGTTGGTCTAGAAATTCGTTGGAATTTTGTTTGCCATAATTCCAATTGGGAAAATAGAACTTTTAATATCGAAATCAAATTTTTGGACAGTTACATTCTTCGCGTACAATTTATATTATAAATGTCAATGGTTCTGAGTGCTATAATCTTATTTGTGATTTGTGTTCACCCCCTAAACTGGTCACAAAGAATTTCGAATAATTAGCCGGAGAGATCTGAAGTAGCGGAGTGACACATAATGATTTCTTATATTTACGCGAACACTACACATTGAAATAATACTAGTTTTTACGGATTTTATCGCGTATATTTAACTATAAATATATTTAATATATTTTAATATTTATAGTTAAATATACGCGATAAAATCCGTAAAAACTAGTATTATTTCAAATTGGAGTGACACATTTTTCGGCAGCGGACGCATCTACATGGAGAAGGTATTCGTGTTAACTTAAACATTTGGCTAAAACCTGCAACTTCGGTAGTTCTCTGGAAGAAAACCTTCGCGATCAGTTTGTCTGGGGTTTATACAGCGAAGAGATGCGATCAAGATTGTGTGCCGAAAAGAGTATAAACTAGAAATTTTTACACTGGGTAAATAAGCATTTAAGATTTCTTTTAATTATATTTAGTGCCAGCGTCAGTGATTAAAATCAGATTACTCGTTTAAAAAGACTTTTAAAGCGATCACGCTACATCCAAAAATTTTACTTTTTATACCATGAGTATGAAAGTTACCATCGTAATTATTTCTTATATTTACGCGGACACTACACATTGATTAATCCCTTCGATCCTCAGAAAACCTTTCCCTTCTATGTCCCTTGCACTCTTCTACATTTTACATTAAATCTTTTTCAGTCCTTGGAGTGAAGCTTTGGAATTCCTTACCATCAACTATAAAACGTGCTCAAACAATAGACTCCTTTAAAAACCAAGTTAAAAAACATTATCTTTCCTTCTAAATTATCCCTCCTCCTTTTATCTATTCCTGTCGTTTTATGATCACTAGTCTGTCAAGTAAATTCCGGCATGTTTATTAAATTTCTATTAGGTATATTTATAGACTAACATTATTTATAGTGCACTCTACCCATTACTTCTCTTTTTTATTTCCTATTTAGGTTTTCTGGAAGAGATTGCTGCATAGCAATAAGACCGCCTTTTGTTTTTCTCTTTGTTTGTTTATTGTTATGTTGTATTTTTTAGTGTTCAATAAAGGGTATTGTATTGTATTGTATTGTGTTGATTATATCCGTTTTTTTACAAAAGTAAAATTAAACGCGATTAAATCCGTAAAAGTAGTTTTAATCAATAAGTTACCACTACAAACAAATATGACCATACAACTTATAATAATGCTGGTTTACATTATAGAAACACAAGCAGAAAAGGTTCGTACCAACTTAAACAGACTTCGAGTACAAAAAACTGTCGTGCCAGCAACCATATATAAATTATAAAGTATTAAATTAGCATGACATTTTTTTATTAAGTTGAAGTGACAATCGAATTTAAAATCCACCTGATAGTGAGTGGCTACTGCAGTCCAAGGACACATGTAGACACTTTCAAACAAAGAAGGCTACAGGTGAGTTGTCATCTCTTTCTACCCTACGGATAGGAAATAATTGCACTGTCTCTCTATACCCTTCGGATCGGAAAACATTAGTGCATGGTGCTCGTTGGTGCTTACCCTTACAGATGGAAGAGTTCTAGAACTTAGTAAAATTATACGCTTCTTGCTGTTGTTTGTGCCAACTATGATTATCCACATAAATAAAGAAGGAGTTAATGATAACAATAATAATAATACTCGTAGAGAAGTGACGACCCCACCGTCCGCTGACATAACAGTTATGTGAGAAAACTGATACGTCAGCGCAGTCAGTCAGCACCTTGCCAAGAGGTTTTAGTGCCATGCCTCGGCAAAAATTGAAGGTGCGAAGTTTCTATTGCGCACATGACCTCACCATGAAATTGCGCTGGGTCATGGAGTCTCCCGTTAAATGACGCCAATTAATATGAATGATGGAAAATATAAGGGCATGCAAAGGGCCGCTGCCTGGAGGTCGCCAGTGCGCCTAAGGAGCTAGCACTGGACGCGACATCATCCATCATCCTTACCAGCTGGCTTGGTGTCGGCAGAGTCGTGGGCCCTGCAATTGGCACCTGCCACTGGTGGAGTACACCGCATGCGTTGGAAAATGCAGATAAATAGTAATGCATTGCGGGCATATTTTAGGACGAAGAGGGAGTAATTGGAAGTTTGCCTATCGGGCTAGGATGCATCGACTTTTTTCTGAGCCTTCTATAACCATCACCGAGCAAAACATGGCAGACCGAGTTCGATATATCTTGCGCTCAAATATATTTGATGTCGCCAAACTCAAACGGTTAAGACGTGAAACTGTTCTCTCATTGGATGAAAATTTACGGCTGTGGTCCCATTGGATGAAAATGCTACGGTATGTAGTTGATTCGAACGATGATGAATCAGTCGCGCAGAAACTGGAGCTAGAGCAAACGAGTCCATTTAAAGAAGCAATTGTGCAAAAGAGCAGTACGTTTCTCGAAAATCGTCTGCGATTTCCTTTGCATAACAAGCGAAATTGGGCTGTTGTCAGGGCTTCGAGCCCAGTGCTGGTGAACTATTCGGATTCCAGCCGGGATCTTTGTGATACGGACTCAATTCTTTTTGACGCTGCACTGGCAGTCTGCCGTATTATAGGCGTCAAACTTTCTGGATGCGCTACTGAACAAAGTAGCGCTATCCCAGCCCGGAGAATAACAATTGAAGAATGTATCACAAATACTTGGGCCCTCATCGGCAGCCTGATATGCTTCAGGTCAGGCAATAACAGGCCAAGGATTGAGTTGAGTGAGCGTTTGCTGGGACAAATGACACTTTGACCCAACCGAATATAACGCAAACACTGACGGAGCGCATAGACGACCTGAAGCAGAGAATCGCTGCTTGGGGAAGGCAGATTCTATAATATACCGAAACGGTTCAACCAGAATTGTTTCTTCCAGAACGATCATAAAAGGCTCTATAAATCATTGGAGCAACCAATGTTAAGTGGAATGGGCCCTGCAGAACCGACACTGTCGCATTCTGGTGTGGCCTGTGGTCAGAGCCCGTAAACCACACCGAGGTCCCTTGGATGGAAATTGTGGCGAGTCAGTGTGCGAGTATTACGCCCATGGACCCCGTCATCATAACGCCGGATGACGTAGCTGAGGCGGTCCATAGGCCCCGAACTGGAAAAGTCCGAGACTCGACGGGTTAGATCACTGCTAGCTGAAGATGTTCTTGGTCTATAACGCTATGCTTGCCCAACAGTTTCAAGAGGCTCTGGACCAGAAATCGCTCCCCAGACCTATTCACTACTGGGATCACTCATTTGGTTCCTGAGGACCAAGGTACCACAGACCCGAGCAAATACCGTCCCATTACGTGTTTACCGACCATATACAAGACACTAACATCCATTTTGAACGTGAAAATCACTCTTCACCTGGACTGAAATAAGGATATGTCGCGCGCTCAAAATGGATGTCGGGGCGGTGGTCGTGGAACCAAGAAACCACTGCTCATTGACGCGGTCATTGGCAAAGTGGTGAAACGCAACCGTCGAAACTTCACCACCCCCCTGTATAGACTACAGAAAGGCATGCGAATCGGTTACTCATACATGACTATGGAGGGTCCTCGAGCTGTACAAGATTGACTGTAAAGTTAGAGACTTCCTCGAGTATTGTATGGGGCAGTGGAGTACGATTCTTTGTCATCTGGGCGAGCGGATGATGGCTGCCGAAAGCCAAATAAGGATAGGAAGGGGTATCTTCAAAGGAAATTGTCTGAGTCCAGTCTGGTTCTGCCTCTCTTAGAACGCACTCAGTACTTTACTGGAAGGCTCCGGAAGGGAATTTCAGCTTTAGAAGGGAGGTACAAAAGTGTACCACTTTTTCTGTACGAATGACCTCAAGTTATTCGCCTCCAGTCGCTCCCATCTTGTGCAATTGCTAAGCATCACTTGTGATTTGAGCAATTCTATTAGAATGGAGCTGGGAATGGATAAGTGTGCGGTCCTCCATGCTGAAAGGGGAAAGGTTGCTAAAACTGAGTGCATAGATTTATGTAACTAAAAGACCCTTTCCGATGCTGAAACATACCTATACCTGGGCATGTCACAGACAATCGGTACCGATGAGGCTGGTATGAAGCAATCAGTTTGCGACGTGTTTAATTGTTAGAACTTGCACTTTAACGATGCATTTGTATACACCCTTACAAATAATGATATTAAATTAACATCTTAAATAATATATATTCTAACTTAAAAATAAAAGTAAATTAATTATTATATTTTATTAATTTAAAATATTATTCTACGGAAATTTTGCTCACCGATCTCTAAATCGGTCGCACTCTGTAGGATTGGAGACGCAAACGAATCCCCGTTCAGACTATTCTTTGTTCGTTTCTACCTAAGACTGCTTCGCAACGCGCGAGAGCCTACAATACAATACAATAGTCCTTATATACAATAGAAATTTAAATTGAAATAAGTGCAGTTGATTCCGTTGTTATTTATTTTATCAATAGTATTGATACAGCAATTGAATACAGCAATTGAGTCTCTTAATAGGGATCTAGAGTATATAAAGAACGACGTAACGATCGTGAAAGTTTGGTCTTAAAGTTAACCCACCCAAATGTCAGGCTATAATAATAGGTAGCCAAGGGATGATTAAGAAACTGGATCCCACAGCTTTACCGCCGATCATTTTTAACGGTTTTATTTTAGAACTGAGTAATACCGTGAAAGACCTTGGATTGCACATTGACCACCTTGAGCTGGTAAACTCAAGTGGCAAATGTTTGTCAGAAAGTGACAGGTATTTTGCGTTCTCTATACCGCCTGAAGAATTTCTCCCAATTCAGGACCAAGACGATTATTGTGCAGTCCTTAATTTTTCCCATTTTTGACTATGGTGATGTGTGTTATTTTGACCTGAATGCAGAACTCTTGAACAAATATGACCGTCCTCTTAATAACTGCATTCGATTCATTTTTAATCTCTGAAAGTATGATCATGAGATGAGATGATAAGATCATACTTATCGCTCTCAACTTAACTGGTTACCCATTCGTCAGCGCCGTAGTCTACGTGCACTCACTACTCTTTACTCTATCTTGATGTCTCCTAATCCTCCATCTTATTTAACTCCTCATTTTCAATATCTTAGCTCCAACCATAATAGAGTTCTCCGTTCTAGTAATAACCTTTTGCTTCAGTACTAAAAAGTATTAACTTTGTACAATCATCGTTCTTTGTTCAATCTGTTCTTCTTTGTAACGCTCTTCCTTCCGAATTTAGGAGTGCCGAAAACCGGATTTCGTTCAAATCTAAAGTGCGAGAACTGCTCGTCAATAAAATGGCAGAATCAACTTAGCGTTCGTAAGCCGTTATATATATATATATATATATATATATATATATATATATTATATATAACATATATTGTACATACTTCTTATTACACCTACCTCTTTTATCTCTGCACTACTCTAAGGCAGACAGGTAGATAATGCCTCAGGCATCAAGTCCGCCTATATACATCTGTGTATATGAAATTAAATAAATAAAAAATTAAATAAATAGTTAACATTATAATTGTTCTGCTTAATTCTTACCTCTTCTGCTGGGGTTGCTTGGTGCTTAAGAATTTTTAACTTCAATGAAGGAGTGCTGAACTTGACAAGAGTGCATATAGGGCTATTGGAAGTATCCGTAATGCTGGACTCTGTCCAGGATTCCAGGATCCCCTACAACTTGCTGCCGTGCTGTGAGCTAACGGACTGTTGCCCTACTAACCTGCCACTATCATCATCACCGTCTGACCTGTGTATCATCGGCCCCTTCCGCTAGCTAGCTGTCTGCGATCCTGAAAGAACAGCGCCTGGACTTCATCTTCCTACAAGCCAGTGATCCCCTTTCTAGAGCTCAATCATTGTACGTGTGCGGAATTAAGATAAAGAAAATAATTAACTATTTAATGTTGGCTGTTTTATGAACCTACATAACTTTTGAGCCAATCTACACGGTACAAACTGACTCTCACCGGCCTACATTCGTTCTTACTAAAGCATTAATATTATGGGTTCTGTTTTAAAAGCGAATATCAGTGAAAATTAATTAGAATATTTAATAAAACACATATTAAATTTTCATAACGAATAAAATTTTTAAAGAAAATCTATCAAGATAAATTGAAAGCCTGATTTTGAATTCCTGTCTTTTATTTACAAACCCAATGAAATTTTATTCAGGTTTTGGTGCACTGTGGCAATTAGGTTAATTAAAGGTCATTCACTTTTATCAATTTCCCGATATTCATTATATTAATTATTGTAGTGCTTCCTAATTAGTTACACATTATTATTCATCTCCATCAGCCGGAAAGCAGCTTATCGCTGGAGTTGCCTTCGCGCGCATTAATTTGGATTGCTTCTGATGGTGTAATTATTTACAGGTCCAGCAATCTCAAACTGTTAACGACTTGGAGCTATGTTTTCTAAATAGAATGTTATTAATAAATAAATAATTTTAGCTGAAATAAATACAAGATTTGAATACGAATAAAGAATTAAATGTTAATTGTACTTTATAATTTAGAAGCATGTGTTACGTAATATGTCCCATTATTTTTATTTTTATTACCCAAACTCAAAGTCTGTTCAATGAGCTCATAGAATGTCAATCTTCAAAAACATTGCAAACCTCCACAACAATCGATTTGACTGGTGACGATTTTGTCACATCAAGAACAGCAGAAGGGATTACTTACATGCTGTAGAAAAAAATTAAAGAAATACATAAAAATTAATAAATGTGTTAGGAAAGTGCAAAAGTTAAAATTATATAATTATATGTAAGGAAAAGCATGAATTAATAAATAAACTTTAAATTTATTCAATTGAGGTGTAAAATATGAAAAAATGTTATGTAACTGAAATAGAGTGTCTCAATTCAGTAGTTTTGTTGCTTAAAACTCCTTACAAATTATATCAAATAAATATGCATCGGCTCAGGATGAGATATAAGAACACATATTGGCCATGAATGATCTGGTAAAGTCATGTAAATACAATGAGAAGCGCTTTGACTCCTTAATAAAACATCAGAGTGAGAATCAACGCTCCATACCATGTCCATCGGGGACAATATGTGTAAATAGCAATGACTCCATATTTTCACCAAAACTATGACGGTGCCATAACAAAAAATAAAAACTTAAAAAGTAATTTAAATATTAAAAAACATAAAGTTATTATGTATTGTGATGACATAGGCAAACATTTGGGCATGATGTTAAATAATCATTTAAAAGGACAGCTGATTAGTAATTATTGTATGCCTGGATTGGTTTTGTCTTAATACCACATTAATAATTCCTGTTGGGAGAAGAGGCAATGTAAACAAAATCAATTATTAAAATATTACCTCAATACTTTAAATGTACATAAATCTTATCTTGTTTACATTGCTTTACATACAGGGTGGCCGAAAAAAAAAAATTTATTAATGAATAATTTGTCACGTAACAATAATTTAAATTTGACATTTAATTGTAACAATTATACTAATAGAATTAATTTTATAGACCTTAACAATTTAATGAAGAAAATTTTGACTACAGATAGGTATTACCTATTCAAATATAATTTAAGACAGATAGCAAATTTGTTATATTATTATTTATGTATTAACTCTGCCAGGGACTTGGCTACCCTGATATCTGCTCCTATTAAGCAGCATAATGATTTGACATGCAATTTGGAATCAGTGTCAAGTAATTCAAATTATAAATTGAGACAATAGAGGTAATCTCTAGCAGTTAT